AGACCTCACAACTGTCCCAAGACTGTCACGGTGAGTGCAGTAATGCTCAGGGCTGAGTAGGCTTACCTGCTGGTCAGAGAGGCACCGAGCAGGTTTTATCTCTAGATCCCTGCACTGGATCACTGGATCTCTCACCCCTGCCACACACACTCCCTCACCTCCGCCACACACACTAGAGATGATAGACACCCGGTGTCACGGCCTATGATATCAAACCAAGATTCAACCCAACCCAGGCAGACCCTATAATAACTACACTAGCACAATGACAGACACAGCAGTGATCATAGGGAGAAAGCAGGGCCCAAGTAGCATCATGTGATAGTCATCATGTGTTTTAAAATGGGTCCCAATAAAAATGCATTCAAATCTGTTGTGTTGAGAAAACAATTCTACTGTGCTGCTTTCTGTGTTAGTCCATTTTACAATGTAATGAGGGATTTTTTATAGTATAGTGAGTCATCATTCTGTGGGCCCCAGTTTGTGTGTGTGTGCGTGCATGCGCGTGCGGGTGTGTGTGCATGAAAGGACAGTAATGCCATTGTTAGTCTGCTTATCCATTGGCTAATTAATAGTGCTTTGTGCCTGACCCAGTTTAATGGATGTGTGTGTGGAGGAGTGAAAGGGTACACCTCCTGGACCTATCCTGGGCTCTTACCTCTGGGCTCTAACCTGGACTAACCTCTGACCTCTAACCTGGGCTAACCTCTGGGCTCTAACCTGGACTAACCTCTGACCTCTAACCTGGACTAACCTCTGGCCTCTATCATCTCTAACATCTGACCTCTCTAACCTCTGACCTCTATCCTGGACTCTAACCTCTGACCTCTCCAACAGTGGAAGAACATGGACACAGTCATTTCTGTTTACCTGACTTGACACGGCAGAGAACCAATTCAATGAAAAAGTGCTAATAACTGAGCACACAAACACACACACATTCACACACACTTGTGCACACATTCATGCATGAACCCTCACACTTGTGCACGCACACATACAACACACACACACACTTTGGATACACGTGCTGGATTAATGTACTGTACAACTTCACTTACAGGGAGCAGAAGCAGCAGCAGAAGTCCCTCTTTAATCGTCTGCTCATGCTTGGGACTCCCGCTCTGACATGACATCCATCCACTTCATCCTCTCTTCTTTCCTCTGCTCATGTCTGGGGATCCCAGCCAGTGTTGACCAATCATCCACCATTCTAACCCTAATTCTGCTCATGTTGTGTGCGCATGTCTGGGGAGTTCAGTGCTGACCAGGCATCATTTGATTCCAACCCTGATTGGTGGTAATGTGGGGTGAAAGAATAGAGGGAGAGAGAAAGACAAAAGAGACAAAAGGAGAGAAAGAAAGAGAGAAAAGAGAGACAAAAAGAGAGCGAGCAGGAAAGAGAGAAAAAATAGTTTTTTTTTTAATAGAAAAAATTAGAGAAATGCCCCCAGAAGATCAGACAGAATATACAATCACAGTCCTTAATGAGTCATCACTTCACTCATGCTTCAACATTATGCAGACATGGATCTACAGTGGCTTGCGAAAGTATTCACCCCCCTTGGCATTTTTTATATTTTGTTGCATTTACATTTACATTTACATTTTAGTCATTTAGCAGACGCTCTTAACCAGAGCGACTTACAGGAGCAATTAGGGTTAAGTGCCTTGCTCAAGGGCACATTAACGTCATTTAGCAGACGCTCTTAGCCAGAGCGACTCACAAATTGGTGCGTTCACCCTATAGCCAGTGGGATAACCACTTTACAATTTGGGGGGGGGGGGGGGGGGTTAGAAGGAATACTTTAGCCTATCCCAGGTATTCCTTAAAGAGGTGGGGTTTCAAATGTCTCCGGAAGGTGGTGAGTGACTCCGCTGTCCTGGCGTCGTGAGGGAGCTTGTTCCACCATTGGGGTGCCAGAGCAGCGAACAGTTTTGACTGGGCTGAGGGGGAGCTGTGCTTCCGCAGAGGAAGGGGAGCCAGCAGGCCAGAGGTGGATGAACGCAATGTCCTCGTTTGGGTGTAGGGACTGATCAGAGCCTGAAGGTACAGGGGTGCCGTTCCCCTCACTGCTCCAAAGGCAAGCACCATGGTCTTGTAGCGGATGCGAGCTTCAATTGGAAGCCAGTGGAGTGTGCGGAGGAGGGGGGTGACGTGAGAGAACTTGGGAAGGTTGAACACCAGACGGGCTGCGGCATTCTGGATGAGTTGTAGGGGTTTAATGGCACAGGCAGGGAGCCCAGCCAACAGCGAGTTGCAGTAGTCCAGACGGGAGATGACAAGTGCCTGGACCAGGACCTGCGCCGCTTCCTGTGTAAGGCAGGGTCGCACTCTCCGAATGTTGTAGAGCATGAACCTGCAGGAGCGGGTCACCGCCTTGATGTTGGCGGAGAACGACAGGGTGTTGTCCAGGGTCACGCCTAGGCTCTTCGCACTCTGGGAGGAGGACACAGCGGAGTTGTCTACCGTGATGGCGAGATCATGGAACGGGCAGTCCTTCCCGGGGAGGAAGAGCAGCTCCGTCTTGCCAGGGTTCAGCTTGAGGGTTCCAGGGTTGCCTTACAACCTGGAATTAAAATTGATTTTTTGGGGGTTTGTATAATTTGATTTACACAACATGCCTACCACTTTGAAGATGCAAAATATTTTTTTGTGTGAAACAATAGAAATAACACAAATAAGACAAAAAAAACAGAAAACTTGAGCGTGCATAACTATTCACCCCCCCAAAGTCAATACTTTGTAGAGCCACCTTTTGCAGCAATTACAGCTGCAAGTCTCTTGGAGTATGTCTCTATAAGCTTGACACATCTAGCCACTGGGATTTTTGCCAATTCTTCAAGGCAAAACTGCTCCAGCTCCTTCAAGTTGGATGGGTTCCACTGGTGTACAGCAATCTTTAAGTCATGCCACAGATTCTCAATTGGATTGAGGTCTGGGCTTTGAGGTTTCCCTCAAGAATTTCCCTGTATTTAGCGCCATCCATTATTCCTTCAATTCTGACCAGTTTCCCAGTCCCTGCCGATGAAAAACATCCCCACAGCATGATGCTGCCACCACCATGCTTCACTGTGGGGATAGTGTTCTCGGGTTGATGAGAAGTGTTGGGTTTGCGCCAAACAGAGTGTTTTCCTTGATGGCCAAAAAGCTCAATTTTAGTCTCATCTGACCAGAGTACCTTCTTACATGTCCCCTGTATCTCAGTTGGTAGAGCATGGCGCTTGCAACGCCAGGATTGTAGGTTCGTTTCCCACGGGGGGCCAGTACAAAAATGTATGCACTCACTAACTGTAAGTCGCTCTGGATAAGGGTGTCTGCTAAATGACTAAACATTTATATAGGTTTGGGGAGTCTCCCACATGCCTTTTGGCGAACACCAAACGTGTTTGCTTATTTCATTCTTTAAGCAATGGCTTTTTTTCTGGCCACTCTTCCGTAAAGCCCAGCTCTGTGGAGTGTACGGCTTAAAGTGGTCCTATGGACAGATAATCCAATCTCCGCTGTGGAGCTTTGCAGCTCCTTCAGGGTTATCTTTGGTCTCTTTGTTGCCTCTCTGATTAATGCCCTCCTTGCCTGGTCCGTGAGTTTTGGTGTGCGGCCCTCTCTTGGCAGGTTTGTTGTGGTGTCATATTCTTTCAATTTTTTAATAATGGATTTAATGGTGCTCCGTGGGATGTTCAAAGATTCAGATTTTTTTATAACCCAACCCTGATCTGTACTTCTCCACAACTTTGTCCCTGATCTGTTTGGAGAGCTCCTTGGTCTTCATGGTGCCGCTTGCTTGGTGGTGCCCCTTGCTTAGTGGTGTTGCAGACTCTGGGGCCTTTCAGAACAGGTGTATATATGTGACACTTAGATTGCACACAGGTGGACTTTATTTTACTAATTATGTGACTTCTGAAGGTAATTGGTTGCACCAGATCTTATTTAGAGGCTTCATAGCAAAGGGGGTGAATGCATATGCACGCACCACTTTTCCGCTATTTATTTTTAAGTTATTTTTTTCATTTCACTTCACCAATTTGAACCATTTTATGTATGCCCATTACATGAAATCCAAATAAAAATCAATTTAAATTACAGGTTGTAATGCAACAAAATAGGAAAAAACGCCAAGGGGGATGAATACTTTTGCAAGGCACTGTATGTTAATCTATGCAAATATCCAGTTGATACAACACTTCATCAATTGATCCACCACAGTGTGGGGCTGTTACCAAATGGCACCCTATTCCATACCTAGTCCACTACTTTTGACCAGACCTCTATGGGCCCTGGGCAAAAGAAGCACACCATATAGGGAATAGGGTGCTATTGAAGATGCAGCCTCTGTATCCTGTACTGCATTGAACTTAACCTTAACTATTGATGATAGTATTAACACTTTGACGGGTGAATATTTAACTTCAAAAAATATGAAAGCTATTTAAATATTTAATATACATCATGAAAATATGAAGAGTACAAGGGAGGACATTTATTTGTGGAGCATAGTGCAGGTTATCACAAATGTGCTCAACATTCTTCTCCAAAGACAAGACACACTGCCCCAATGTGTTAAGAAATGTATTTATTTAATGAGATACTCACTGATGCTCTCAGGTACCCTCCTCCCTCATCCTCCTCCCTCTTCTCCGTTTTGTTGTGATAGTGAAATGTAAAAAATGCCGACAACAGTTTCATAGGTTTTTCCAGTACCAAGCCTCCAACCCCCCTAATCGCAAGTCCTCATACCCTGCAAGACAAACACAAGCTTTCCCTTACATCTGGGACTTCCACAACACACATACAAAGTGCAAGTGTCAACTACTTAAACCTTACATCTATGAAAAATCACAAACAAATCCATTGCATTTACCCTCCTCTCTTACGTTCACCAAAATGAAGTGAACTTCTTGCCGAGGCCAGAAATAGCTGTGTAAAAGAGATAGAGAATAGATGGGGTGAGAGGGAAACAAGAAGAAAGAAAAAATCGTATTTAGTACAGTATAGAAAGTTAGTACATTAGTCCTTTTCACAGAATATTCTGTAGAAGGGGTGTACATCAAATGACGGGTCCTCTGTAGCTCAGCTGGTAGAGCACGGCGCTTGTAACGCCAAGGTAGTGGGTTCGATCCCCGGGACCACCCATACATAAAAATGTATGCACGCATGACTGTAAGTCGCTTTGGATAAAAGCGTCTGCTAAATGGCATATTATATTATATATTATATTATGTTTGTATTATGTTCAATGACTAAGAAAGAACATCAACGACTGAGACACACACACACCATACAGAAGAAAAGTCATTATTTAACAGTAATTCCTTCCACATCAGAATCTGGATGCATCCCAAATGGCACCCTATTCCCTATATTGTGCACTTCTTTTGACCAGGATCCATAGGTAGTGCACTATATGGGAATAGGGTACCATTTGGGATGCAACAGTGTTCAGGTACTCAGGGCTTTACCATCTCCCAGTTTCCCCGCCTGTTCGGCTGCCCCTCCCGCCCCTCCCAAGATATTGGTGAGAACGTTGACCCCCTCCGCTGGGGGCTGGCCTGCCGCTGCACTGCCGATCCCACCAGGCCTGCTACCTATCCCTCCAGGCAGCGTTGCTTTAGAGCCTGCAGAGGAACAACAACAGCACTGTCAGATGACACGAAGGGGGTATGTCACTCTCAGTATGTCATTCTGTTTGGGTAGTATGTCATGTCTGTTTGGGTAGTATGTCATGTCTGTTTGGGTAGTATGTCATGTCTGTTTGGGTAGTATGTCATTCTCTGTTTGGGTAGCATGTCATTCTGTGTTTGGGTAGTATGTCATTCTCTGTTTGGGTAGCATGTCATTCTCTGTTTAGGTAGCATGTCATTCTCTGTTTGGGTAGCATGCCATTCTCTGTTTGGGTAGCATGCCATTCTCTGTTTGGGTAGCATGTCATTCTGTGTTTGGGTAGCATGTCATTCTGTGTTTGGGTAGTATGTCATTCTCTGTTTGGGTAGCATGTCATTCTCTGTTTGGGTAGCATGTCATTCTCTGTTTGGGTAACATGACATTATCTGTTTGGGTAGCATGTCATTCTCTGTTTGGGTTTGAGAGAGTCTAAAGACAGTAATGTATTAATGCAGTGTTAGACTGTGCGAGAGGTGTCAGTCTCACCGATGCCTATGAGGGGGGGTGTAGCTGTCTTGGGTGGCTGTGCTGCTGCTGCCCCCCCTATCGCTGCTGCAGGTTTCACCCCCCCTATCGCTGCTGCAGGTTTCACCCCCCCAATAGCTGCTGCAGAAGTCACCTGTCGCGGAACAGAAAGAGAGGGGAACAAAATTGTTACTGTCCAGCTGTTCACCAAGAGGTGAAAAATAAGAGAGGGAAATTACATAAGCCCAGTAATTTCATGATTATTGCCAGGATGCACAATTCAATAGACCTTGAAATACCAAACCCATCTCAGGTGTACTCACGGCTGTGGTTGTTGGCTGGCCTGCAGTGGGTCCGGCTGGCTGCCGGCCTTGTGCCGGAGTCTGGCCAGGTTTAGCCTGCTGTTGTGCCGTCCCTGGTCCTGCCATTGGTCCTGCCACGGGTCCTGGCCCCGCAGTGCCTGGAGTGGCCTGAGGGCCCCCGGTGGTGGTCTGAGCAGGTTGGCTCTGCTGCGGGGGCTGCTGCTGCTGCTGGGTTCGTTGCTGCTGCTGGCCAGGCTGCTGGGACGGTTGGCCCCCGTCTGGCTCCTGGGACCCAGGCTGTCTGCCTGACTGGGGCAGCCCGCTGGACCGCTGCCCCTGTTGCTGCTGCCCACCTGGACCCCCCTGGGGCTGCTGCCCCTGGCCCTGCTTGGCCCCTGCAGAAGGAACCCCTTCCTGTCTCCTGGAGGACGAGCCTGGCGGCCTCTGACCCCTGCCACCGGTGCCCTCGCGGTGGTGGCCGGAGGCCGGGTCACGAGAGGAGTAGTCTCCAGAGTCCCGGTCCCGGTAGCCATCCCGGGAGGAGCGTGGGTCCGAGCCTCCCCTCTTCTGGGTGGAGGAGGATCCACGGCCCTCAGAGCGGGCGGATTGGTCTTTGGGGTGTGTTCTGGAGGAGCGGCTGGACGACCGAGGCTCCTCGCCGGAGTGGCGGGAAGAGGAGTGCCTCCCCGAGCTGCCGCCGCTGCTGCCATGGTGACCACGGTGGTCGCGGGATGATGAGGTGGACGAGGGGTGGCGAGGTTGGTTGTTGTACTCGTCCTGAGGCCACAGGTCCTGCTCTTCGGGAGGCTCATCATAGTCATGGTAGGTGTGCTTCACGTTGGCGCCGGTCTGTTGTCTACCAGTGGAGATGTGGCCTGCGCTCCCATGGTGTCTGGAGCGGTTGGAGCGAGCCTCCCTCGGCTTCTCAAACCAGTCCGTCTCCTCCTGACCCAGATGATAGGCTTTTTGAACAACAAAGAATATCACATTATCATGTGTAGAGAGGAGAAGAGGAGAGACATGCAGTCTGAACTGAAGTCATGCAGACGACAGACAAAAAGACGGGCCCAAAGTCTCAAAAACATGGAAAGTCTTTCAAAGTCAAACAAAAAACAGCAAAAAACTTGTAAAATCACAAAACGCAAAAAATATAAATGTTTTCACCAGGCAAAAAGAAAAAAAGAAAACATAGGCATATGCGGTTTCATGCATTGGGCACAACACTCACAGTCACAAAACAGAAGAAGCCATCATGCTACTCTGAAGACCCTTGGCATTCAGACTCTTTCCAGCAGACAGAAAGACAGAGGAAGTCAGGCAGTTAGTGGCATTCAGCACCAGTTACCTTCACTGTCCGACACAGCAGCATGCTGGTCGTCTACGAGATACGGGTCATCTGGCTTGTACACGTGGCTCCTGGGCAGGTCCTTCATGTGGTGGTCCTGGACGTCTGGCAGGGAGTGGCTGGAGCCGTACTGGCTCCTCACGTCATGGGGGTCCCCTGGTACTCCGGTGCCACCTCGTCCGACCCCCACAGGCTTCCCCACGGAGCTGAGGGGGCTCTCCTCCTCTGAGTTATAGGTGCGCAGTCCGGGCCGTCCGCCGCCGCCTCTCTGAGACCGCTCCATGGCGTCCCTCTCGTAGGACTTGCTCCTGGAGGAGTCCCTGGAGGAGATCTTGTCCATGCCGTAGCCCGTAGACCGGGACCTCCCCGAGCCGTACATCCGGTCCTCCTCTTCCAGGGCTTCCCGGCTTCCCGGGTGGCCACCATAGTACTTCTGCTGGTCGTAGCCGCTCTTCTTCACCCCGGACCGAGACACCACAGTGCAGCTGCCGCCGGTGGAGGTGGTCATGGTGTAAGAGGCCAGGTCGGACTCTACGTCCCGTGCCTCCTCGATGGGGGAGAACTTGGAGATCTTCTGCTCCATGCCTTGCTTTCTGTGCTTGCTGCGCTTACTGGAGGAGACAACAGCGGGAGCCAGGCTCTTGGATGGGTGTTTCTGGGTCCCCGGGCCCCCTGGGCGTGTTGTGCTGGGGTGTTTATTATAGTCGTCATAGTAATAAGAAGATCCCCCACCACCTACAGTGGTGCTGGTCCGGGGGTCCACAGCGCCCTGCTGGTGGTAGCCCGTGGTGCCTACAGACATGTACGGGTCCACAGGCTCATTGCTGTAGCCAGTTTGGCGCGCTGGGCCGTTCTCACCGTAGCGTCCTGCAACAGGATGTCCCAGAGCGTCAACAGCTGAGCCTGTGTTCTCTTTGGTCAGCTCGCTGATGTCGTCGATCATGACGTAGTTCCTGGGGATGTTCTGCTCCAGGTTTGCGGTGTAGAGGCCGTCTGCAGCGTAGGCCGATGTGGGGCTGTCCACACCGTGGGTCAGGCCTGGCTCCGGGGGGCGGTACTGCCCATAGGCATTGGGCATGGTGTTGGAGGCATAGACTGAGCCAAAGCCGGTGTCTGGAGATGATGTGGCCACCGACACGGCAGGGTTACTGATCACCTCGTAGTTGGTGGGCAGCTTCTGTTCCAGGTCGGCCAGAGAGGTCTGATGAGGCCTCTGGTGGACCGTGAGGATCTCAGCCTGGGGCTGGAAGGACATGCCCTGGCCGGGATAGGGGCTCTGGCCTGGGTAGGGGAGATTCTGGCCCAGGATAGAGGGGTTGGGAGGCTGGAAACCCTGGTGGCCATGCTGTTGCACGCCCAGGTCTGTCTGGTAGGAAGGCTGGCCGTAGCCCCCGTGGGCTGGGTAGCCTGGCTGGGGCTGGTAGCCTGGGCCTTGGGGTGGGTGGGGCTGGAAGGTGCCTGGCTGGGGCTGGCCGGCTATTGGATACTGAGGGGGCTGGAAACCGATCTGTTGGTAAGCAGCGGTTGGCTGCTGTGTGGGCGTGTGCTGGCTCTGTGGGTACTGATAGGCCATGTAGGAGGAGGTGGGCGGGTACTGGGAGGCCTGGCCAAGGTCGTTGGTGAACTGGCTCAGTGGCGCCGTGCTGGGCCTCGTCAGCAGCCCATTACCGTCGAACGTTCCCGTGGCTGCCACCATCCTCAGGTTATTGAGCTCAGTGTCTGACATGTAGTCGCGGGGGTCGCCCATGCAGCGCATATAGGCCAGCTCCCTCCTCTCCCTCTCCTTCACCAAGGTCTCCTTGCGCTGATGGATGCCCAGTTCCAGGTACCGCAGCTTGGCGTCAATCTCCTTCTCCTCCTCCTCCAGCTCCTGCTGCTGCTTGCGGAGCTTGGTGGACTCTTGCTCCACAGCCTTCAGCTCACTCAGCAGGCCGGCCTTGGTGACCCCCTGGGCAGGCCTGGGCAGCACCCTCTCGGGCTGCATCCCTGGAGAGCTGCTGTACATGTGGGACATGGCTGGGGTGACGATGGGGAGAGGGCTCTCCTCTGGAGGCGGGCTGGGCAGGGTCCTTTTTACCTTTCTCATCAGAGAGTTCTGCTGCTGCTGCAGGGTGGCCATCTGGAGAGAGAGGCAGAGAAACACCATCAGGATAACACTCACCTAACATTGAACAGAATGCCTGCATGGAAATCAGACTAACTGCACTAAAGAAGATTCCAGTCCAGTCCCCTATTCTAATCATTACACCTTGATACTTTGTCATTTCCATAGCTTAATTCAGAAAATTGCAATATTATAGACTAACTTCTATCAATGTAGCCCTTTCTTGCAGTAAAATGACCTAGTGGCCTCATGGGTGGAATTTTATTAATATTTGTAAACATAAACATTATTTTTTTTAAACGCTGAAATTCCGGTGTTTCTATGTCAAATGTTTTTGTTATATTTCAGTCTGCTGTGATGTATATAAAGTGTATTTTGGGGTGCAAACTCAAAATGGAATACATCCACTCTATATCTGACATGGTACAGGTGTCTTCTTAATTTTAAGTCCATAACCATGTGTGTGAGGTGTTTCAAAGTAGATTTGTTTAAGACTACCAAGAAACACTCTGTGTGACCCTGATTTAGCCCACTGCAGTAAAATTAAGGTAAAATGTATAATTATATGTTTACATTTGTTTGGGTCCATTCAAAAATACTTTCATCATGAATAAATGAGCATACTAAAAATCAAGAGCAAGTTTCTTATTAAAATGTACTCTGCAAAAGATGAGTGCTACAACCATGAAGAATGATGTCCATGTGAGAGAGAATTGGTAACTTGGGAGCAATTCTCAGCATAAATAGTTAATATTAATACTTTTTAGAGTGTTAGAAGATTCCAATCATAACATAGTCATACACGTTTTCATAAAAATTAAAACGTCCTTCATCCTCATCACTTATCGCAAAACCTATGCCAACAACAACAAACTAAGAGCAATGATAAATCATTGTGCACAGAAGAGAAAAAAACATTCAAACATGGCTAGATTTCTTCTTTCTACTTACAGTTTAGGAGTTGTGTAGACCCATGGTGAATTTATTAAGTATCCGTGAGAATGCCATTTTATTCAAATGTTGATGTATGGCCAGCACAAATAAAACAAGAAATGTATGTAAAAATCATTTTATGATTCTTATGTGTGCCTGTTCATCGGACAGCCCTGGCACTGAGTACAGAAGGATCTGACTTTACTTTGACCAGCTGCTAACATGTCGGAAGACAGCAGGGCTGTACCAGGATGCCTCCACATTATGTCTCCCCCTGGCATTTCTAAGGGCTTTGCCAGATATAGCAGGCAAAGCATGAAGGAGAAAGAGAGAAATGGTGTGTGTGTGTGTGTGTGTTTGTGTGTGTGTGTGTGTGTGTGTGTGTGTGTGTGTGTGTGTGTGTGTGTGTGTGTGTGTGTGTGTGTGTGTGTGTGTGTGTGTGTGTGTGTGTGTGTGTGTGTGTGGGAGAGAAAAAGCAGATTGAAAAGGCAAAGGAGAAAAAAGAAAGGGATATCAGAGAAAGCTATGGAGTGAGAAAAAGAGAGGATGGTATAATGGAATAGAGGGGACGCTTGCCTGGTGCCTAGCATGGACAGTCCTTTGATGCCAAACCCTGTGTGATGCATCTGTGCTCTCACACAGGACTATCTAGTCTGTTCAGTATCACACTCTCTTCAGTACTCTGTTGTTTACTTTCTCTGCTCTCTACTGTATATAAGATAGTCATGAAAAAACGTCTTCTGTCTTGTTAAATGCTTGTTCTTTTCTAAAAAATATATATTTATTTTTAGTCATTTAGCAGACGCTCTTATCCAGAGCGACTTACAGTTAGTGAGTGCATACATTTTTTTCATACTGGCCCCCTGTGGGAAACGAACCCACAACCCTGGCGTTGCAAGCTCCATGCTCTACCAACTGAGCTACACGGGGCCTAAATAACTTACAATGTACCTATTTATTTTCATATCAGGTCACATTATGATGTAATGTGTTAATGTGAAAGTTATTGAAGTGAAAGTGAAATAATAATAATAATAATGTAACTTATTACATACCTGACTGTTGGAGAGGGCCTGCTGATGGTAAAGGGAGAACCTGTTCTTGGCAGGGTCTTCTGAGGTGGGGCTGAGGGGTTTGGGGTCCGACATGGAGCGCTGCACACTCTTGATGGGTCTGGGGAGGCTCTGGTGACGCTGAGCAGACTCTGCAGTGAAGGCTTTCTGCTGGGGTGTGACATGTGCCTTGTTGAGCTTCTCCTGGGAGGCGAACGTGGTTTCCAGCATCCGATGGGGCGACAGCGGGGACACAGGGGAGTACAGCACCTGGGGAGACTTGGGAGGCTGGCGAGACGGGGACTCGTTCTGCTGCTGGCCTTGGTAACCGATATCCAGAGGGTCGGGTTTTCTCCTTTCGAACTTGGCCACCCCTTGGGGAGGAGGTGGGGTGGAGCCCACCATCTGCATAGTGGTGGAATATGGGCTGATGGTAGTGGGGACGCTGAGCTGAGGGGCCACCACCCCCTGAGACTGGGCCTCTGGTTCTGTCTGACAGGCCAAGCTCTCACCCTTATGGGTCCTCTCTGGGGCAGAGATGTAGTGAAGCAGCTCCACCTTGTTTGTCTCAGCCGCAGTGATGTGGATTGCAGGTGAGACCCTGCCCAACTGGTCTGCCTCAGTCTGGCATGAGGAGTCGTTGGTGGTCTGAATGGCTATGCTGGAGGAGGACACTTTGGTGGTTCCATTGGATTTGACCTCGGTGCTTGAGTCTGAATGCTTGGATAAGCGCGATCTCCTGCGCCTAACCGGTTGCTCCCACTCTGCCTGATCTTCGTCGTCTGTCTGGACGCTGCAGTCGGCGATCCGCCTGGTTCTCCTGCCCCTGCGGTTCATGTACCTGTCCTCAACCTCTTCATCGTCCGTCTGCACACAGCTATCTGCAATCCTCCTCACCAGCTCCTCCTCCGATCCATCCCTAAGACGAGGCATAGAGTTCTGCTTCTTCATGACCCTGGACTCCAACTGATTCTCACTGTTTCTCAAGGACATCTCAGAGGCAGAGTTTGGTATGGGCCTTGGGGTCACCACTGCTTGGACCACCTGCCCTTCCATGTGGGGTTGCCAGAACTGCACACTTTGGCCGTCCTGTTGAATCACCCTACCACTCTGGTCACAGATGATGAAACCTTGAGGGGTTCCTCCTCCGACTACTACCCCTTGTATGGCACCTTGAGGGGTTCCTCCTCCGACTACTACCCCTTGTATGGCACCTTGAGTGGAAGTGGCTGCAGCAGATGCTGCTGATGCAGCGGCTGCCTCGGCTGCTGCGGCCGCAGCCGCTGCCTCCACTACTGCAGTCTTCTGCCTCTTCTGCTCCTCCAACTGCTGCTGCAGCTGCTGCTGCAGCGACTGGATCTGGTCCAGTTGCATCCTCTGCTGAGCTAGCTGTTCCCTCTGCATGACCAGCTGGGTCTCCCTCTCTGATTGCTGCTGATGCAGTACTTGCTGTTTGATAGTCTGCAGCTCCTGAATCTCACGTTGCACCAGCATTTGTTCTTTCTCCCTGTGCCTCTGGAGCTCCATGCGGTCTCTCTCCAGTTCCTCATGCAGGCGCATCTGCCGAAGTTTCTCCAGCTCTACGCGCTCTCGCTCCATCTGCAGCATCTGCTCCTGCTGCTGTCTCAAACGCTCCTCTACCTTTTCTAGCTCTGGGTCGACCGAAGTGGCGATGGTGGTGCTTGGTGCTGCAGTAGAAGCCATCTGGTGAGTGGTCTGGGGCTGGGGCTGCACTAGAGCCTGTGGATCAGGCTGAGTTATAGGCTGGGACTGGGTTTGAGTCAGAAATGAAGTTTGAGTTTGAGTTGCTATTTGTTGTTGCATTTGAGTTTGCATTTGTTGCTGTATTTGGGACTGTATTTGTTGCTGTATTTGGGACTGTATTTGTTGCTGCATTTGGATTTGCATATGAGTTTGAGTATGGGGGTGTGTCGTAACATTCTGCCCTTGGATTTGAGTTTGGGGGGTCTGTTGGTTTGCAGGGACTACTACAGACTGAATTGGCATTGCAGTAGTTTGTCCACCCATATGAGCAATTGGCTGGGCTGGTGTTAAGGTTGCAGCCGTGTGTACAGAGACGGTTGCAGAAGGCTTCCCAAGGTAGACAGGAGCTTCTTGGGTGGAGGTGCTTGTGGCAGGTACACTTCCAGGAACACTAGCCATTGTAGGGAACTGGTTGGGAGGAGGGTACCCGTAATGTCCCTGTGTGGACAGAGGCATCTTTGGGGTCATATGAGGCAACCTGTTGAGGCTCGCCAGTGGTACAGCAGTCACGCCTGCAGGGTAAGGTCGGTATATTCCTCGTGGCATGGGTCGCAGAACAGAGGAGGGCTGGGTGGTTATTGGCAAGGTAGAGGCTATTGGGGTGTTGATGGTGGAATATGTCATACCGTCAGCTCCTCTCATTGCAGACGGATATAAGGCCCGTATGCTTGCTTGTCTGGCATTGATCAGATTGGTTAGGGCTTGGCCGTGTGCAGTGGGCCTCCCGTCAGGGCCATAGAGCAGGTTGGCTCGGATTGATGCTAAGCTTTGCTGTAGGTTGAGCCTGGCTGCAGGCCCTGCTCCACTTCCAGAACCATACTGCATCATCTCAGGGTTGCTGTACCGTTGACCAAAATGGTCCATAGAGTTCAGAGCTGCACACATTCGGCTGATCTCCCTGGCAGTGGTGGCACTATACTGTGCCAGGTTGGCGTCCGGTAAACCTGCCTGACCATAGCCGTAGTCTTGGTTGATGTTGGACATGGAGCCGTACCTTCGTAGGGGCAAGGGAGGACCTGCAACATCTCCTTGATGACGTAAGTCTGTGTAGGATCCGTATTGCGCACCCATGCCAAGATATCCTCCTTCGTAGGCCTGATTAATGGTGCTCAGATCCACTGCCAGGTCCCCAGGGTCAGTCCTCTGATAGTACTGAATACCTGCATTAGACAGGTTGGTGTCAGACATGGAAGGTTGAAGCCTCCCTCCGGGGGGTATAGGGTATAGAGGGACTCCCTGCATAGGTTTATGCTCCTCTGGTGCTCCTTGCATGCTTGCTGCCTGGTAGCCATTATTACCAGGTGGTTGTTGTTGTTGCTGTTGTTGCTGCTGCTGTTGTTGTTGCTGCTGCTGCTGGCCTACAATGTAGTGTGGGGCAGGGGGTGGAAGAGTGACTTGGGAAGGTTCAGTGGTAGAATTTTTCTGAGTTAAGTTCCCTGCACAGCTACCAGCAAAGGGTAGCTTGTAAACAACGTCACAACAAGCCACTTGGTTCTCTGGTTTCTGTATCTGTCCACCAGTGAGATCCAGGACCTGGGGAGGGGGAGGAGGCTCTTTGACCAGCTGAGTCACGGTGGCCACCTGAGAGGCATTGCTATCTTCCAGTTGGACCATCATGACATGGGGCTTTCCAGTGGACAGGTTCATAACTGTGGGTTTGTTCTTCAACTCCAAGGCAAGCCCACTCTGACCATAGTCATGTTGATTGTTAGAGGGATGTAGAACTACAGACACTGGCTGGGGAGGCATGGGAGATACTCTAGGAATCACACTGACACTGACCACAGGCTGGGCACTGCTACTGCTCGTCTGGCTAACCACCAGGTCTTTCTTCAGCAACAGCGGCTGGACCTGGTTCGCTAGGTTATAGCGAGCAAAGGAAGACTGCTGGTGCTGCTGGAGCTGCTGCTCGAGGAGCTGTTGTTGCTGTAGGAGCTTCTGCTGCTGCATCTGGAGCTGCTGCTGCTGGATGCCCAGATCCTCCAGACACGCGTCAATCTTAGGAATGGACGGGTCAGTGATGGGTGGCTTAGTTTGTGTTAGACACATTGCTGACCCAACGCCTTGCCCCAGATCCATACGGTTCTGCAAGGGATCTCCGTAAACCACTGGATGCCCCTTTGGCTGAGATATAAACATGGACGCTGCCACGGTGACGCTGACTGTTGTTGGAGTGGATGCTGAAACGTGCGGCTGCTCTTGTGCATTCAGGTTCATGGCTGCATTCAGTGGCTGCACTGCTTTGTGACGGTTGGGTGGTTGTTCAGCATCGAGGGAATACCTCCTTGTATCAGTTGCCAGAGATGTTAGATCCATGCCCTGGTCTGTCATGATGACTGGGGCGGCCTTCATTGGTGCTCTCAAGTCCACTACAGGTGCAGGTCCACTCGGATGCATTTGCATTTGGCCCTGCTCTACGACCCTAGAGGTACCTGGGACATTGGAGAGCCTACATAGGGAGATATTTTCCATTGACATTGACCCACGACTGTATGTGGTAGCTGTGGTTGTCATTGTCATGCTTATACCTATATTAACCCTATCTGCAGTTTGGAGCCTCTGTAAACCATGTTGAGGGGATTGTTGCAATGGGTGCATTTGTGGGGACGTTGGAGAGCTCGTTGAAGGAATATGTTGCTGACACATGGGCTGACGGATAGCCTTTGTTGGCGAGGACAGGGGAGAAGTGGAGGAGTTTACAGTCAGAGGCTTGGCAGGACTGGTGGTGGTCTTAGAGCCCAGCGTTATCTCCATTACTGGTGAGTTGGAGGAGGACTGTTGTCTTGCAAGGCATGGCGATGCTGCTCTTTGAGGCATCTGGGGTCCATGTTGTTGCAGCGGTACTGGGGAGGTTGGGCCCCCAGCGCCAGGCTGAGAATGTTGTGGGGACCCCCCAGGCCCAGTGGGTTGTGGTGACACCCCAGGCCCTGTAGGTCGTGGGGACAGGGAATGAGTGGGGCTCTGTGAGGGAGAGGGGGAAGGGGAAACAGGAGGACTGGGGCCTTTGAAATAGGAGAAGAGGGAGGATGCGATGGAAGGCGCTCCAGAGTCAGGAGGAGGCGCCCCCTGTGCTGGTCCCTGAGGACCTGGTCTTACAGCCACCGGGGGGATAACACCTCCTATTTTGGCAGTCTGCATCCTCATCCGGTCTTGGGTTTCTTTTGATAGATGCTGTGTCACACTGATTCCTGGGGGGACCCCTTTTCCAGCCCCACATGGGTCGTTTGAGGAGAAGGAAACAGGTGCAGAGATTTGTGTGGGGCTGGAGCCAGGGGTTAGAGGTGCTCCAGTGCCTAGATGTTGTTTGCTGCCAGGCTGAGGTGCTCCAGCCGGTTGCCTTTGTGGACTTCCTTGTTGTTGGCCTGGCCTTCCTGGCTGTCCCTGCTGCTGCTGCAGCATCTCTGCTTTCCTCATCATTTCTTCATACACCTCCTCTGCACTTTTCAGTGTCTTGTCCAACGGTGAAGTGGCAGTATGTTTTTCAGTTGGGGAGTAGAGGGACATGAAGGTGGGTAGGTTGTGGTGGCTTCCTGACTTGTAGAGCTTGGAGCCCATCATTTCAAAGCCCTCTGCCTCTGAGTCCATGGAAGGGGAATACTCGGAGCAGGAGGATCTGTGGAGCTCCTCCATCTCTGCTGCCTGTCTCAACTCCTCTGTCGGGGATGCATCCTCGATGGGAGAGAGGTTGCTGGGGGGAGTCTTGGATCTCTCTCTACGTCTCTGGGCCCTTAGCTCCTCTTTGTCCCTCTTGGTTTTCCTGGCTGTGCTGCGGATCCTCTGGAGGTCCAGATCTCTCATCTTCTCCTGCTCTCTCAGAAGCTCCTCTTCCTCCCTCAGCTCATCTTCCTCGGATGAGTCCTCGATGGTGGGCAGGAGTGGGCCGTGGGAGCGGTGGCGAGCCTTCCTCTGCTGCTTGGCTTCCTCCAGTCTCTGCCTGCGGCTGGGGCTGCTGTCACTGTCATCCTCCATGGAGGACACGGAGGTAGGTGACGTGCCAGATGTGTAACTGGGAGTGGTGGCAGGGAGGGTGGATGAATACTCCCCCTTCGACCGCTCCTCTGGTGATCCAGTCAGGCTTTCCATCTCCAGCTCTGGCTCTCTGAGATCATGCTCTGAGTTGTTCAGCTCAATGGTCTTAAACCGCCGCAGGCCTCCTTGGGAAGCCATCATACCTTCATCGTCTTCGCCATCTGCCTCCTTGGTATCCTCCTCAAAACTACTGGAATGGTGGGTGAGGCTGCGTCGTTTCTCTTTCCCCAAATCCTTTTTGTTTTTGTTTTTCTGGTAGCCGTACCCTTCCTCCTCCTCCATCTCGTCCTCGTCAGCGCTCATTTCCATGATCTGCCTCCTCATGAACTCCTCATCTGTAATTTCTTTATGGGACTTCTTCTGCCTGGGCGGTAAGGGGGACAGACGACTCTCGCTGCTGTCCTCCACATAGTCGTGGCGCAGCTTGGGACTGAGATCGTCAGACACCACCCCATCCGAGTTGTACTCCTCGCCCTGGTCTGCAGCGGACTTGGACTTGGACTCTAGCAGTGGCCGCATGGAGCTCTCTAGCTTGGTGATCTCAGAGGGGCTGGAGGGGCCTCGTTCACCCAGCTTCAACCCAGGATCCTCACGGATATGGCCTGTGATCTCGCCCACGGAGCCGGAGATCCCATCTGAGGAGTAGCCCGTGTCACTGAGGCTCTGTGTGCTGGACTTGTTGGAATCCTAAAGGAAAGAGAGAAACAAGAGAGACAGGTCAGACGCCAGTATTAGCATCAGTCCTGTTGCCCCCTGACTTAATTAATTTCTGTAGCAAAAAGTATATTACAGGCATCAGTAAACCCTTTCTTTCCTATCGTTTCACCTAACTCATCGGCAGTGTCACTTTTATGGGCATTTGTTTCACAGATGATAGGGGTTGGAATAAAAGCACTGGAGCTTATACAGGCTGTATTACTATTCTGGCAAGACAAGAGAATAATTGCATTGAAAATAATTCAGTCATCAAAGCACAGGCAAATATATAACAGATAATGTAATTAACGTTATTAAAGCACAGGCAACTATAACTGATAATGTAATGAACGTTATTAAAGCACAGGCAACAATTGCAGACAATGTAATGCACACAAATATGACTATAAAAGGTTAAGATAAAAAGTGACAAAAACAACAAAAAGACAAACAACAATAAAACACAAAGAAAAAACATGATATTTTGGTTACATGCTTGTATAATTAAATGTGCAATGCAATCTCTTCCATTGTTGAAGAATGATGAATGATGGTAAAGAATAAACAATCTGATCAAAATATAATGATTAAGTTAAAAAACGGTGCATTGCATGTTAGCTAATAACACTGATGAATCATGATTACAATCCCAGAGACAAGGATGACCATATTACAGATCATACAGGCTTAACATTATGATTGAACTAATAAAAACATGAAGAAAAGATACCAAAGCTGATGCATGATCGTAAACGGCTGATGCATGGAGATGCCGAAGACAGGTGGGATGAGAATGATGTAATGATCATAGTGATGATGATGATGATGATGATGATGATGATGATGATGGTGACAACGACGATGACAAGAATTACTAAAATGAAGGTAAATAAAATTCTGGTGGTAAATCAAGAAGAATAACGGTGGTGAAGACGCTCACTTCATGGTGTTTTGACTCCTGCGAATCTTCAGCGGCTTTCTTCTTTTCATCTTTTGATGTGGTAATGGCTTCAGGTGGTCCCTTCTTGGGCGAGGCTTTGGCTTGTGTTTCCTTTTGAGTTTTGTGGACGACTTTAGTTTTATCCTGGCCCTGCTGCTGTTTACCGGCCTGCTTGTTGGGTTTAGGTTGGGTAGGTGCACCCTTAGCAGGTGAGGGTGCACCCTTGGTAGGGGTGGATGCAGCTTTAACAGAGGAGGGCTGGGCAGGTCCCTTGCTCTGGGCAGTGGGTCCTGTCTGTTTGGCAGGGGAGGGTGCGCACTTGATAGGGGTGGATGCTGTTTTAGTAGAGGACAGTGCGCCCTTGGCTGGAGAGGGCAGGGCAGGACCCTTGCTCTGGGCAGTGGGTCCTGTCTGTTTGGCGGGGGAGGGTGTGCCCTTAGCAGGGGTGGATGCTGTTTTATTGGGGGAGGGTGCACCCTTGGCAGGGGAGGGCTGGGCTGTTTTAGCAGGGGAGTGTGCACTCTTACCTGGGGAGGGTTGTGCCTTGGTAGGGGAGGGTTGGGCAGGCGCCTTGCTCTGGGAGGTGGGTCCTGCCTGTTTGGCAGGGGAGAAAGGAGGGCCACTTACTTGGGCACCCAGTGGTTTTTGTTGTTGTTGAGGACCAGTCGGCCGTAGCCCTGCATGCTGATTGGGCCCTCTCTGCTGAGGCTGTTGTTGATTGGCTGGAGCTGATTGCCGTGGGGATCCCATTGGCTGAGGAACAGGAAGTGGAGCGTCTCCCAGGGCCCCAGACAAAGCTCTCTGGGTCTGGCAGTTCAGGCAGAGCCATTCTTTATTCTGAAACAAAGACAGAACAAAAAGAGGCCTTTAGAAAACTGCAAGGTACAGGATTGTATCAAAACAAACATTGTCTGTTAACTGCAAACTGAAGATTATTCCATAATGATCATTCAAAAAGGGACAAAAACACTGTCAGTCAAATAACATTTAGAAACAAGAAACATCAAGAAACAATGAATAAAACATAAAGTCAGGAAGAAACATTCAACAAACAGCCCCACACATATTCTATATCATACCACAGTGACACATAATGTGGTATAAGTGGTATGGTGGGAGCTGAGAAGAGGTGCTTTCCTTGTCCAACAAGGTGAGAGTCTGCTTGAGTAACATTAAAATAAGACAGGACAGGAATAGTACAACCGTTTTCTGCACTAGAGCGGTCTGCACTACTGCTGACTGCACTACCTCTGTCTACACTACCGCTGTCTGCACTACCGCTGACTGTACTACCTCTGTCTGCACTACCTCTGTCTGCACTACCGCTGTCTGCACTACAGCTGTCTGCACTACCTCTGTCTGCACTACAGCTGTCTGCACTACAGCTGTCTGCACTACCGCTGTCTGCACTACAGCTGTCTGCACTACCGCTGTCTGCACTACAGCTGTCTGCACTACTGCTGTCTGCACTACAGCTGTCTGCACTACCGCTGTCTGCACTACAGCTGTCTGCACTACAGCTGTCTGCACTACAGCTGTGCTCACAGCAGCACTTAAAAATGAAGCATGTCCTCTTAACTGAAATAATATAAAAACACGACTCTCCAATAAATCAGCAGTCTCATTGAAGGTTTAAGCCGCTAATTTACACCAGTGCAGCGTCCCAAATAGCACCCTATTCCCTACAGTGGCTTGCGAAGGTATTCACCCCTCTTGGCATTTTTCTTATTTTGTTGCCTTACAACCTGGAATTTAAATTGATTTTTGGGGGGTTTGTATCATTTGATTTACACAACGTGCCTACCATTTTGAAGATACCAAATATTTTTTATTGTGAAACAAACAAGAAATAAGACAAAAAACCAGAAAACTAGAGCGTGCATAACTATTCACCCCCCCCCAAAGTCAATACTTTGTAGAGCCACTTTTTGCAGCAATTACAGCTTCAAGTCTCTTGGGGTATGTCTCTATAAGCTTGGCACATCTAGACACTGAGATTTCTGCCCATTCTTCAAGGCAAAACTGCTACAGCTCCTTCAAGTTGGATGGGTTCCGCTGGTGTACAGCAATCTTTAAGTCATACCACAGATTCTCAATTGGATTGAGGTCTGGGCTTTGACTAGACCATTCCAAGACATTTAAATGTTTCCCCTTAAACCACTAGAGTGTTGCTTTAGCAGTATGCTTAGGGTCATTGTCCTGCTGGAAGGTGAACCTCAGTCCCAGTCTCCAAATCTCTGGAAAACTAAAACAGATTTCATTCAATAATTTCCCTGTATTTAGCGCCATCCATCATTCCATGTGATCCTCTGTAGCTCAATTGGTAGAGCATGGCGCTTGTAACACCAGGGTAGTGAGTTCGATCCCCGGGACCACCCATACATAAAAATGTATGCACACATGACTGTAAGTCGCTTTGGATAAAAGCGTCTGCGAAATGGCATATTATATTATATTATATTATTCTGACCAGTTTCCCAGTCCCTGCCGATATAAACATTCCCACAGCATGATGCTGCCACACCATGCTTCACTGTAGGGATGGTGTTCTCAGAGTGATGAGAGGTGTTGGGTTTGCGCCAGACATATCATTTTCCTTGATGGCCTAAAAGCTCAATTTTAGTCGCATCTGACCAGAGTACCTTCTTTCATATGTTTGGGGAGTCTCCCACATGCCTTTTGGCGAACACCAAACGTGTTTGCTTATTTTCTTCTTTAAGAAATTGCTTTTTTCTGGCCACTCTTCCGTAAAGCCCAGCTCTGTGGAGTGTACGGCTTAAAGTGGTCCTATGGACAGATACTCCAATCTCCGCTGTGGAGCTTTGCAGCTCCTTCAGGGTTATCTTTGGTCTCTTTGTTGCCTCTCTGATTAATGTCCTCCTTGCCTGGTCCATGAGTTTTGGTGGGCGGCCCTCTTTTGGCAGGTTTGTTGTGGTGCCATATTCTTTCCATTTTTTTATAATGGATTTAATGGTGCTCCGTGGGATGTTCAAAGTTTCTGATATTTTTTTATAACCCAACCCTGATCTGTACTTCTCTACAACTTTGTCCCTGACCTGTTTGGAGAGCTCCTTGGTCTTCGTGGTGCCGCTTGCTTGGTGGTGCCTCTTGCTTAGTGGTGTTGCAGACTCTGGGGCCTTTCAGAACAGGTGTATATATAATGAGATCATGTGACACTTAAATAAAGTCCACCTGTGTGCAATCTAACTAATTATGTGACTTCTGAAGGTAATTGGTTGCACCAGATCTTATTTAGGGGCTTCATAGCAAAGGGGGTGAATACATATGCATGCACCACTTTTTATTTTATTTTTTAGAATTTCTTGAAACAAGTTATATTTTTCATTTCACTTCACCAATTTGGACTATTTTGATCCTAATAAAAATCAATTTAAATTACAGGTGTAATGCAACAAAAATAGGAAAAACGCCAAGGGGGATGAATACTTTTTCAAGGCACTGTATATAGTGCACTACTTTTGACCAGAGCTCTAGTGCACTATATAGGGAATACAGTGCCATTTCGACACCACCTGGGTTATTACCAGCCCCACTATTTTGTCATTTTTCTTTCATAATGCTATAATATAGAAACAACGTTGTCAGGCTAAGCAGTAAAGTACTGTACAGTGAGGCTCCATCCTAGTGGTGGCAGGAAGCCAAGGCTTTTAACAGAGAGTATGCTGACTCTGAACACATGGGACTTGTTTAACATTGACCTTTATGTTGATATCATCACAGGAGAGTCAACACATATGGAGAACGATCAGTTACTCTTGCTAAAATTGGATTCGATAAAGAGTGAGTGAGGGGTATAAAAACAAAGGGCATTTCTGGGTATAATAATTAAATTAAACTAAGACCTTTTTGGATGATTATTATTTTTGTAAGAAATAACTGTCCTCTCATACTATATGGCCAAATACCATCATAATAAAGATTGATCAAAGATCCGGAACAGTCATTCTGATTCCCATGTAAAATAGCCTTTTGAGTGACTAAAATATCACCCATAATATTTTTGGGGGATAGAAATACTCAAAGTTTTAGAAAAAGTAATTTTTCTCTCATGGCTAACTACCAGGAAGTTTGAAAAGACAGGCTCAGTGGGAGGGGAGCTTATATTCATGAGCTCGCCTTGACTGACAGCTCTTTGAAATGCCTATGTCAAGCAACTTTGATGCAATGAACAGTGTTGCAGTAAAATCATCTCAAGAAAATTTGGTGATACACAAAGCAATGATGTCAATTTTTTCACATTTCTACCCTGCTAGAGCTTCTCCGGTCAACTGTAAATGCTGTTATTGTGAAGTGGAAACGTCTAGGAGCAACAACGGCTCAGCCGCGAAGTGGTAGGCCACACAAGCTCACAGAACGGGACCGCCGAGTGCTGAAGCGTGTAGCGCGTCAAAATCGTCTGTCCTCGGTTGCAACACTCACTACCGAGTTCCAAACTGCCTCTAGAAGCAACATCAGCACAATAACTGTTTGTCGAGAGCTTCATGAAATGGATTTCCATGGCCGACCAGTCGCACACAAGCCTAAGATCACCATGCACAATGCTAAGCATTGGCTGGAGGGGTGTAAAGCTCGCCGCCATTGGACTTCATGGTTCGGGCTAGGACCCTTAGTTCCAGTGAAGGGAAATCTTAACGTTACAGCATACCAAATTTGTGGCAACAGTTTGGGGAAGGCCCTTTCCTGTTTCAGCATGACAATTCCCCTGTCTACAAAGCGAGATCCATACAGAAATGGTTTGTCAAGATCGGTGTGGAAGAACTTGAATGGCCTGCACAGGGCCCTGACCTCAACCCCATCGAACACCTTTGGGATGAATTGGAACACAGATTGCGAGCCAGGCCTAATCGCCCAACATCAGGGCCCTCTAACCAATTGTGCTATTACGTGTGTTTTTTCGCGTTATTTGTCATTTATTCCGTACATAATGTTTCTGCCACAGTCTCTTATGGCCAAAATTGGACAAATATTTTTTCTTCAACGAGTAGGATGCAAAGGATATTCTACAGACACCCGACAAGGCCCAAATCCCCATCATTCCCATGAGAAAGAGACTGCGATATCGTGGAAGTAGCTCGGGGTGCCTTGTAAGGATCCGACGGCGAGCGAGTAATCTGCCTCTTCCATCAATCCTATTAGACAACGTACAATCATTGGAAAACAAAATGGACAACCTAAGATCAAGAATATCCTACCAACGGGACATAAGAAACTGTAATATCTTATGTTTCACCGAGTCGTGGCTGAACGACGACATGGATAACATACAGCTGGCAGGATATACGCTACATCGGCAGGATAGAACTGCTGACTCCGGTAAGACAAGGGGTGGCGGTCTGTGTATATTTGTAAACAACAGCTGGTGCACAAAATCACACTTTTTTTCTTAAAACTGCATTGTTGGTTAAGGGCTTGTAAGTAAGCATTTCACTGTAAGGTCTACACCTGTTGTATTCAGCGCATGTGGCAAATAAAATTTGATTTGATTTGACCTAACTAACGCTCTTGTGGCTGAATGGACACAAGTCCCCGCAGCAATGTTCCAACATCTGGTGGAAAGCCTTCCCAGAAGAGTGGAGGTTGTTATAGCAGCAAAGGGGGGACCAACTCCATGTTAATGCCCATGATTTTGGAATGAGATGTTCGACGAGCAGGTGTCCACATACTTTTGGTCATGTAGTGTATCTAGCTATATAAACCACAACCCTCTGCAAACATGCATTCTCTGATCT